TAGTGCTGCTCTGCACATTTGTGTACAAGTGTATGTGTTTGAGTACCTGTTTTCAATTATTTGGTTTAAGTGAGATTTTACAGTCAGGAAAGTCCCTCTGCATCCATTCTCTTCTCATTAAGAAGAGGTAGAAGGCTGGGCGCGGTGGCTCATGCCTGTAATCCTAGCACTTTGGGAGGCCGAGGCAGGTGGATCATCTGAGGTCAGGAGTTCGATATCAGCCTGGCCAACATGGTGAAAACCTGTCTCTACTAAAAATACAAAAATTAGCCAGACATGGTGGCACATCCCAGCTACTCAGGAGGCTGAGGAAGGAGAATTACTTGAACCTGGGAGGTGGTGGTTGCAGTGAGCTGAGATCGTGCCACTGCACTCCAGCCTGTGTAATGGGAGTGAGACTCCTTCTCAAAAAAAAGAAAAGAAAAGGAGAGGTAGGCATTTTAACTGAAATTATCCCCAAAAAGAACATTTTAGGGCCAAATTTGTCAGTAACAATCAGTTCAGCTATGTCTGCCCATGCTCTGTATATTCTGATGAGGGAGAAAATGGCTTCCAATTTAGAGGATACTCCTGGTATGGAGAAGGGTCCACGTTGGTGGGCTAGCCTGGGACAGTCTCCTCATCTCTTCTAGTTCTGTTGGCCAGTCAGTGGTAAGATGGGCGCTAAACAGATCAAATAGTATATGAAACTGGAAATCTGTGGAATGGTTTGATGAAAGTACTGGGAATGGGTGCGGTTAGTGAGTAACTAACTTTCCAGAGAAGGTAGGGGCATTTGGATCTTAAAGATGAGAACATTCACAAGGTGAATGAGAGGGTGGAGGGCATGCCAGCCCTCAGGATGAGCATGGGCCACAACACGTCAGCATCGAAGTGCATCCTGTGGTTTGAGACTAGCAAGATCATCCATATGACTAGTATCATCAGGCTCGTAGGCTTGTCTGGCAGGGAAGGAAACTGGAAAAGCTGGCAAGAACTAGATTATAAAGTGTCTGCAGAACAGCATTTCCTTCCCTTGCTCTGCAGTCATTCCTAGATGTGCACTCCTTTTGCTGCCGCAGTGTTCCACAATCCCTTTTAGCATTCTTCAAGTATCCTTCATAAGCTCCTTGCCCTGGAGAAGGAGGAGACCCTGGAGGTGGAGTGCAGACCCCATTTGCGTTTCCCAATCCCATGGCAGAGAATGTGGCAGGCTGTAGAGGCTGGCAACATGGTTACTCAGTTACCTTTATGAGAAACATGAGTTCCCATCACAAAGCACCCCTGCAGCTTGACATCACGGTGAGGCAGCCGGTGCACGCTGGTGCCAGCCACTGTGATGAATGGCCAAATTCCATTTGCCCTTTCCCAATGCACTTTTCTTCTCCGTTGCATGCAGCCTTGGGCACACTCATGGCAAGTGCCCTTGCACTTTTGCTGCCTTGCCACTTGCTTCACATTTTTAATTTGCTGAGTGTGGAGGGAGGCAGGAAGACATCAATGATGAAAGAAGTGTGAGCCGGAAAAAAGCATAAAGCTGATTAATGTTGGAGGAGCATTTGTTCCCCTCCAGCCAAAGCCAGTGGGGAAAAATGGAAAAGAATGAAAAGTGATTTTGACTTTATGTTTAAAAGAAAACCTTTTACCACCCAGCATACCCCAAAGCTTCTCCACAGCAGAAAGCCCCTGTAAGCATTGCAAAAGCTCCATCACCAAACTACTTGGAAAGAAGCTATAGAGTGTGGTTAGAAACACTGTTTAGGGCAAATCTAGCTCTACTACTTGCTGTGTAACTTTGGGTAAGTTCTCTATGCTTTCTGACTCTCACTTTTCTCATCTGTAAAATGGGAATAATTACATCTTTACCTTCTTCAGAAGATTGTTGTTGGGATTAAATGACTTAGTATCTGTTTTAGAAGTATATGAAACTTAGTAGTATATGGTACAGAATCAAGACTCATTATAAGTCTCCTCGATTAGGCTGATTTAACTAAGAGTAGTATTGAAAAGCAGAACATAGTCACAGACCTAACAACATGGGATAGTGGCCTCATCTTGAGTTTCAGTTTAAATCCTAGCTCCACCACTGACTGGTTTTGTGAATTTGAGCAAGTTACTTAACTTTGAGTTTAAATAACTTTGAGTTTCTCCCTCGTAAAATAAGGATAATAGCTCATCAGGGGCTGCTTTGAGGAAAGCACCTAACACGGTACCCAGCCCAGAGCAGCAGACACTCAATACATGTTTGGTTTTTTTTTTTTAGTGTTGTGGTTCTCAACCACATTCAAATCACCTGGTAGGTTTCTTTAAGCATGGGTACCTAAGCCTCATCCCCAGAGACTATGATTTAATAGGTCTAAGGTGGGACCTGGGCATTGGTGTTTCCTAAAGCTTCTCAAGAAGATTTTTTCTTTTCTTTTCTTTTTTTTTTTTTTGAGATAGTCTCACTCTGTCACCCAGGCTGGAGTGCAGTGGCATGATCTTGGCAACCTCCACCTCCTGGGTTCTCCTACCTCAGCCTCCTGAGTGGCTGGGATTACAGGCACCTGCCACCACACCCAACTAATTTTTGTATTTTTAGTAGAGATGGGGTTTCACCATGTTGACTAGGCTGGTCTTGAACTCCTGACCTCAGATAATCCACCTGCCTCGGCCTCCCAATGTGCTGCCAAGGAGATTCTCATAAGGAGCCGAGACAGAGCCACTCCCCAGCAGATAACAGTACATACCGGTTTTGGTTTTTTGTCTGTTCTTTTTAAAAAATCTGTCCCCCAGGAGACTGAACAGGATAGGAGGAATTCTGGGAATAGTCAAAAATTTAATACACCTGCAGCTCTAAGCCCTTGATAAGAAATGTGCAGCCAAGGAATTGCATTCCATTTTATTCTGAAAAAAAAAAAAAAGTATTCAAAGAGTCTTTTTAAGAGTCGTGAACTGGAAAGGTGGTAAGAAGTTTAGCCTAAGCCTCACACATAAAATATGGGAACTCCCAGTAGGTTGGGGATTTATATGTGGGGGTAATTCCAGGGTTTTGTCCTCCCAAGAGATATAAATTGAAGCCTTGAGAGTTTAATGTGGGGGAGAAAGAAGTGTTCTCATAATGACACCTTAAAAATCCAGGGCTCTGCTAATGCCTAGGGATAGAAAAGCATCATCTGTAATAGCAGGGGGTGGCATGGGGGTGTATTCTGGTCTCTGTACTTAGGTTTCCAAGATCCAAGTGTAGGTCATCAAGAACCTTCTTTCTCCCCATAGGTTTATGGTATTAGTTACCCAATAAAAGTTGGGTTAATTTTACAACCCAAGTAAAATTTAAGCCAAAAAGCCTTCAGCATTACTCTAGGATTTATGAAAGTAAACATGTGGAGTGCTTGCAGGATTGTGCAACAGTAAAATTTCAATGTCTTTATGTCAGGTATATGATATATTCATTTGTATGTGTATTTAAAGGTTAAGTTTTTAAGAGCTTTGCAATACAAACTATTTTCAGGACTAAACTGAAGATACTTCCCCCACCTTCACCTTTAAAATGATTCTTTTAATGAATGGGAGTAGAGAGAAGCAGAAATTAGTGTCCTATCAGGTGATTTTTCCACTTGGTTTGCTGCTATCCTTTGACTTGCTAGACTCCTGCACTAGACCTTCAAGTGGGAAGTGCAGCACCACAGCACTAACCACAGTCCCTCTTACGATGTAGGAGCTTAGTAAATAACTGTCTTTTAAATAAATGTCTTCTTTGGTCATTGTAAATACTTTAAGAATAGCCATATGTTATTCTACAATTTAAAAAAGCTTTTACATTATCTGATGGGATCGTCATGACTTTCCTGTGTAGGGCAGAGAAGTCAGTTACTGTGTCCAACTTGTAGATGAGAAAATTGTGGCTCAGAGGGCTCAGACAGCTTGCCTAAGGGCACCCAAATGTTAAACTCAGGAAGAGAATTTTGTTCTCCTGACTTTGCTCTGAGGGATTTTTACTTAGAAGAAACCAAAGAGGAAAAACGGTATTTTTTTTTTTTTTTTGAAATGATATATTGAGGAGGAGCATCCAGGGTTGAAGTCAACCCATACACGTGGCAGGCAGACTTTGGTTTGGCTATGGTCTGCCTTTGAGAAACAGCTGGATGTTCTGCACTAGGGGGATTTTGTGCTCCTCGTAGGCCCTCGTGGGAGATGGTAGCCTCTACCCTTTCAGGTTGAGCCTACCATCTTGGGTCCTCATCTCCAGTTTTAGATCTCCAGTCCTTTTACCTGGCACATGAATCATGTCATTTCTGGTGTCCCTCTGTCTTCAATATGAAATCTACCACCCCTTCTTTTAAAAAACTATTATAATTTTGAAGCCACAAAATTGTAGTAAGACTATTTTTTAAAATTTTAGGGAAGCATGAAAGCAAAATTTCCATGGACATTTTCTCTAGATTTCCTTGGATTTAGTGCCTCAATTCAAACTCTCCAGGCCATGGTTTGCCCTGGCCTCTTTGGGCAGGGTAGAGATAATGGAGGTTAAGCAGTGAAGAGCCACCCAACTGAGCTGCCATCGGGTTTCTTCCCAGCTGCCCCCAGCTTCTCACCCCATGGATCCCCCTAATTGACATGTCAGTTGGAGTGGATCTGGTGGCTAATTCGCCCACGCCTTTGTAGCAAATGAAGCAGAAATAATCTGTGCTTAAAAAACAAAAAACGGCAGAACATGTGCCCAAATTTCCAACTCATTTCCTCTTGACTCCTATAACTACATCATCTTCCAGTCCACCACCAGCTGCGAAAATAAAAGCATTTTCTCCCATATTTAAGGATGATTTTGTGCTTCAGGACGACTTTCTGGGGGTGTAGGAAACTTGACCAATATGACCAACAGATGTTTTAAGAACTGAGCGAAAGCCCAATTCCTTAGCCCAGTCTTTTGTATATTGTGCCCAACTGTGCCCCCTAGTGACTATTTAGGGTATCGTGCAGTCAGAGCTTGCCGTGCCCTGTATGTATGTGGTGCATCAGCTGATGTCTGTGCTTTTTTTCAGGGATGAGTATGAAGAAGATGGATTCTGTCAGCCATACAGAGGGATTGCATGTGCAAGATTTATTGGCAACCGCACCGTCTACATGGAGTCTTTGCACATGCAAGGGGAAATAGAAAATCAGATCACAGGTAAGTAGCACCAGTGAAATTATATTTGTCCCTTGAATAACTATTTTTCTCACCAAAAGTTTTATTGAGCTCCTCTCTTGACAAAGGATTAAGCTCGGCATGGGTGTTGGGAGCAGGACCATAAAAAAGCATGAGACATGATCTCTGTGCTCTGGAATTTACATTAAAGTAATTTATTGAAGGTTGCTCTTAGAGGAAAAGGAAGCTTTGCGAAATCTCACATTCATTCAAACACTCAATAAATATTATTAAGTGCTTTCAGTGTACCAGGACTGAACCTGAATGGGAGAGATGATGGTGTGTAAATAAGCCAGGTACATCTCTGCCCTCACAGAGCTTACTGTTTAGAAGCAACATGATGTCGACTGAGAGGGGATGAATTTAGAGTTTAGAATTCTGGACGCTCATCCCGGAACTTTTATGATAGTGAACTTTGGGGAAATCTATTACTTTCCCAAAAAGTCCCCTTCTTCATCTGTGAAGTGAGTGATGAGGCAAGATGACCATCCCTCTCTTCTTGCTCTAGCTTTCAGTATTTCACCTTTTGTTTTTCTTAATTGAAAATATCCTTTTGATGGAAATCTAGTAGCGAAGCACTTGCTAGCACACATGAGTTAAAGTAGCATAGGCTACCTTGTAGGATTTTGCATGCATCATTCTGGTGCTTACAGCCGCTTTGTCCCCTTCCATTAGTGTAGTTATGATGCCTCTGTGTCACGTACCCTTTGCAATCCATTCACATTGCCTTCGTGAGATTCTAATGAGGTTGCCATATCTAGCAAATAAAAATTCAGGATACCCAGTTACATTTGAATTTCAGATAAACAACAAATACTTAGTATAAGTATGTCATAAATATTTATCTGAAATTGAAATGTAACCGTTGTCTTGTTCTTTATCTGGCAACCCTAGGAGAGGTAAGAACAAACCCAAGGCAGAAACATAGAACAGCAAAAGATCCAGAAGCTATGTGGAAGCTATGTGCTATGAGGAATGTGAAGGAACTGAGAGGAGGCCAGGGGGAAGACGGGGGAGGATTTTTTTTTTTTTTTTTTTTTTTTTTTTTGAGACGGAGTCTTACTCTGTCACCCAGGCTGGACTGCAGTGGCGTGATCTCGGCTCACTGCAAGCTCCGCTTCCCAGGTTCACGCCATTCTCCTGCCTCAGCAACCCAGAGGACTCTTTAACCAACCAAAAGAAGCAATTATAGGAATAGGTAGTTGCCATTTTCTGAAGCCCTCATTTCAGCAGGAAGAAAACTCTGAAATTTCAAAGAGCAGTAGGACTGACAGAGAGGTGCTGTTAAACACCCATTTCAACCTAATGTAAGAATGCCTTAACGTACTTTTAACTGAATATCCACAAAAACAAGTAGACGTTTTGGGCCAGGCACAGTGGCTCACTCCTGTAATCCCAGCACTTTGGGAGGCTGAGGCGGGTGGATCATTTGAGGCCAGGAGTTCGAGACCAGCCTGGCCCACATAGCAAAACCCCATCTCTACTAAAAAGCAATATAAAAATTAGCTGGGTCTGGTGGTACGTGCCTGTAGTCCCAGCTACTCGGGAGGCTGAGGTATGAGAATCCCTTGAACCTGGGAGGCAGAAGTTGCACTGAGCCAAGAGCGTAACCCTGCACTCCAGCCTGGGTGACAGAGTGACACTGTCTCAAAAAAAAAAAAAAAAAAGTGGAAGTTTCGATGTAAATAATTGGTAACCTATTTATAAAAATCCTCTCTTGGAGATTTCTAACGGGTATCAGCCTGGTGGAAAGTATCACAGTTTTTTTAAAAATTCATTTACCTTTGTTTATCCCAGCGTTTCCCAAACTTGTTGGCTTATTTCTCAAGCACTATTCTATTTCACACAATGTTCTGAGCAACATACTTGGGGAAATAATGTATCAACAACCTCATAGATTGCTTTGTAAGGTGTAAGCTCCTTGTCAATAGCGGTATTCAAAGGTAGGCTGGTGCGCTTTTTGTGCATCTTACCCTACTGGTAAGAGATTAAGCTAAGGAACCACTAATATTTGATGATACGCCTTGGAACAATTGCACTGTGCTCTTTGAGAACTTCCAAGTAAGTTGCCTCATTTTCAGTAGTAGAAAGTATTTAAGCCACATAGAAATTAAGCAAGTTACCCTAAGTCATCCAGCAACTCTTGCCATCCAGCAAGACATAGAACTGGATCCTGTGCTCAGGCTCAGCCACTACGGAAACAAGTTCTGTCCCTACAGCTGTCAGATGTTTTAGAAGCCTCACAAAACCAATAAAAAGCACCAGATGAAACACAAAGTTTGATTGCTTTGTAGTAAAAAAATGAAAAATATATTATACTTTAACCTAATTAATTTTTTTATTAGGAAATGGTACATATGTAATTTAATCCTGTTTTTTCAACTTTGTAGTCAAAATGGTTTTTTTCAAGCCAGTGAAAGTAAGCTGCTTAGACATCTGAAATGAATCTCCTTCTCTGGGCCTTGTCTGTTTCAGCACAGCAGATTCCTCGCAATGTGTATTTATATCTGATATCTGTTGACGAGATAACCAAAGAAGATAAACCCTGGCCTCTGGGAGTTAATAATTGTGTTTGTTTTCCAGCTGCCTTCACTATGATTGGCACTTCCAGTCACTTATCTGATAAGTGTTCTCAGTTCGCCATTCCTTCCCTGTGCCACTATGCCTTCCCGTACTGTGATGAAACTTCATCCATCCCAAAGCCCCGTGACTTGTGTCGCGATGAATGTGAAATCCTGGAAAATGTCCTGTGTCAAACAGAGTACATTTTTGCAAGATCAAATCCCATGATTCTGATGAGGCTGAAACTGCCAAACTGTGAAGATCTCCCCCAGCCAGAGAGCCCAGAAGCTGCAAACTGTATCCGGATTGGAATTCCCATGGCAGACCCTATAAATAAAAGTAAGTGGTAGCCCCTGACCTTCTGTGCTGTTCTAAGGGTCAGCAACCTCATGGCACAGGGAAAGCTGGACCTTAACCCATAGTGATTTTCATACTGTTAATCAAATTATTTTCCAATGGGCTGAGTACTGTGCCTGAGCATTCAGTGGTGGATTAGACATAGTTATCTACAAGAAGCTTCATGAAGACATTAATTTTAAAATATGGGAACTGGTTTCTCAATAACTTAAACATAGAATTACCATATGACCTAGCGATTCTACTCCTGAGTATGTAATCAAAAGAACTGAAAACAGATGTTCAAACAAAAACTCATATGAGAATGTTTATAACAACACTATTTACAGTAGCCAAAGGGTGGAAACGACCCAAATGTCCATCAGTAGAGGAGCGGTTAAACAAACTGTGGTATATCCACACAGTGAAACATTATTTATCCACAAAAAGAAATGAAATACAGATACATGCTACAAACCTGGGTGAATCTGGAAAACATTATACTAAGTAAAAGAAGCCAGACACCATTGTATGATCCATTTACATGAAATTTCCAGAATCGATAAATCCATATAGACAGAATTCAGATTAGTGGTTACCAGGGGCCAGGCTAGGGGTAGTGGAGAGTGACTGTTTAATAGATATGGGGTTTCCTTTTAGGGTAATATAAGTGTTCTGGAACCTATAGTGGTGACGGTTGTACAATATTGTGAATGTACTAAATAAATGCACTAATGGTACACGTCATGGTAAGTGTATTATAGCAAGTATCAGCACATTCTTGCGTTGCTATAAAGAAATACCTGAGACTGGGTAATTTATAAAGAAAGGAAGTTTAATTGGTTCACGTGTGGTTCTGCAGGCTGTACAGGGAGTATAGCAACTTCTGCTTCTGAGGAGTCCTCAGGAAGCTTCTAATCATGGCAGAAGGTGAAGGGAGAGCAGGCTTCTTATATGGCAGGAGCAGGAGAAAGAGAGAGTGAGTAGGGAGGTGCCACATGCTTTTAAACAGCCATGAGAATGAGAACTTACTCACTATCCCAAGGACAGTACCAAGGGGGGTTGGTGTTAAACCATTCACAAGAAACCTGCTCCCATGATGCAATTACCTCCCACCAGGCCCCACCTCCAACACTGGGGATTAGGGAGATTTGGTGGGGACACAGACCCAAACCATATCATACCACTATTTTAAAGATATAGATGGGTTTGCCTCCATCCCCTACCCACTCAACACCACCAAGCAAAAGACTATTTCAGTGTACATTTCCCTTTCATCTAGAATTAATCTCAGTGGCAATTTTTTAGTTTCCATTTGGTCATTAATGCTATTTTATGAGTTAAGTAAATGAATGCATCTAAAATGCTTAACACATGGTAAGGGCTCAGTAGCATCATTATTGTTATTGTCATTACTTCTCCAAACTCCAGTTCAGTTCAACTGTACAGATTCTGCAGTGCTTTAAGTCCCTGTGGCCACCTGGGGGGGCTACTTAATGGGATCTGCTTCTCAAGGGTGCTGACCCCATCAGCACAGAGATAGCCCTAACTTTTGTTAGAAACCCAGAATGCACAGCCTCTAATAAGCATGTTTTGTGAATTACAATACCAACTAGATTCCTTATTACATGATTCATGTCTAAAGCTGTCAATCAGAATGGAAGGAAAAGTTTGGCTTGAACCTTCCTTGAACCATTCACTAGGAAATTACTTCTGTGCCCCTAGGTCCCACCCCAGTTCCGATTTCTTCTGTGTTCAATGTTAAAAATACTTTTAGAATACTGATTTTATTACTGAAGCAAAAGCTTTAAATCCTCCCAGGAATGTAACTGCAAGGCAGGCCCTGGGTCCAAGCCCAGCAAAGCAGGGAGATTGCCCTGCATGGCCCCTGACCAGCAGGGAAGCTGTGGCCACGAGGTTAATTACCTGCCCTCCCCTCCAGAAACTGCTGGCTAGAGGAGAGCTCCAGCATCTCCTGTGTTTCTTTCTAATTGTTTGGGCTTTTGTGTGTTTTTCAGATCACAAGTGTTATAACAGCACAGGTGTGGACTACCGGGGGACCGTCAGCGTGACCAAATCAGGGCGCCAGTGCCAGCCGTGGAATTCCCAGTATCCACACACACACACCTTCACCGCACTTCGTTTCCCAGAGCTGAATGGAGGCCATTCCTACTGCCGCAACCCAGGGAATCAGAAGGAAGCTCCCTGGTGCTTCACCTTGGATGAAAACTTTAAGTCTGATCTGTGTGACATCCCAGCTTGCGGTAAATAGAAGTCATTGCCCCTAATGTATTCAATCACCTTTAAAGATCTCTATCCTACCCCTCTTCATTTAGGAGAATCCTATAAGGGGGCCAAAGGAAACGGATAGTATTTGCTTGATCTCAAATTGTTTTTAGGGTAAACCCTGCTGTTTCTACATAAAACACCTTGTAAGGTACCAAAACACGTTCTCAAGAACTCAACTGCCTTTATACCTGCAGCCATTGCACTAGGGGATATAACAAGGACCCAGCCCTCCAGAGGCACAGTTGAGACAGTTTATCACACTGATTTTTGTAGAAAAAGATGTTACCCAGAATGGTCTGTGTCCAAGTAGACCTTTTTAGCAAAAAAGGAATATTGGAAGCAGAAAGAAAATTGTTTTCTGTATGCCTTAAGAACACCACAAGGCAGGATGAATCTACAACCATTACTCGGTCATCCAGAGAATCTGTGAATAAACTGTGTCCTTCGTTACATCTGTTAATACTGCAAAAGAAGTATATAGGTGTCTAGTAAGAAAATGGAATTCCTGAGTCAGTTAACTGTTCCTTTTTCTAGAAAATGTTTGGAGAAAATAATGAAAATAGGCCAAGCATGGTGGCTTACGCCTGTAATCCCAACACTTTGGGAAGGCTGAGGCAGGAGGATCGAGGATCATTTGAGCCCTGCGGTTCAAGACCAGCCCAGGCGACATAGCAAGACTCCATCTCTACCAAAAAAAAAAAAAGAAAAAAGAAAGTGTTGGTGAAACCTGGAGTTAGGAACTACTTTGGAACTGATTCGTCTTCCTGATCCTAGTTCTCGTAGATATCGTAGATAATGCCAAGTTTCCCAGGCATAGTGGGAAAGTCAGGATGTCACTGCTAGAAAAGCAAAAGCGACAGGTAGAAGGGTGGGCAAGCAAGAGCCATAGTCATGGGACACACAATACAAAGTGAGCTCGGTGTTTAACCAGATGATTATTCAAGCCATTCATTTAGAATATTTGTTGAGCACCTACTATGTGCCAAGTACTTACTCATCCGGGCATGGGGAGATGCCAGGGACCCTAAAGAGGAAGTAGGCATAGCACATCCACAAAGGAGCAAGAAGTCATGGAGGCGGAACAAGCAAGAGGGAGAGTAGCAGAAGATTAGGTCAGGAAAGTAACAGGACCCAATCATGTAAGGCTCTATAGGCCATTGGAGGACTTAAGCTTTGACCCTGAATGACTTGGGAAAGCGTGAGAGGGTTTTGAGCGGAAGGGTAACATGACCTGACTTACATGTTTGAAGGCTCACCTGGGTTGCTGGGTTGAGACTAGCCTGTGGGAAGGATGCAAGAGCAAAAGCAAGGAGATCAGTTGGGAAGCTACTGCAGGAATGCAGGGGACAGATAAAGTGGACTTGGCGGGAGGAGGAGTGGAAGATGGAGGGACATGTGGGCAGATTCTGGATATGTGTTGAAATTGGAGAAAAGAGGAGTCACTGATGGATCAGATGTGGGATATAAATGATGGAAGGAATCAAGAGTGACTATGGAGCTTCTCCATGGAATTACCTTTTGCTGAGATGGAAAAATTATAGGAGGAGTAAATTTAGTGGGAACAGGAATCAGGAGTTTTTGTTCATGCTGAGTTCGAGATGCCTTTTAGAAATCCAAAAAGAAATACTGAGGAGGCAGTTGGATATCACAGACTGAAGTTCAAGTCAGGGTCTGGGATGATATGGATACAAAGGAAATGTTGGCATACAGATGGCTTGTAAGGCCATGACACCTGAAGGAAAGAGGAGCATATCTATTTAACAAGAGAGAAGGAAATGTCAGTGCAAGACAACGAAAGCTGACTTTAGACTCTGGTAAGGGGCAGTAGCCTCTGTTCCTAATGTAATAATGACCTAACTGAGTGGCTACCTTGTGCCAGATCCTATGCGAGACACCTTACCTCTGTCACCTCATTCAATCTTCATATCCAGCTTCTATCATCCCCATTTTATGGATAAGAAAACTGACAGTAAGAAGTAAGAGGTTTGCTCAAAGACACTCAGCTTTCGGTGACTGAATCATGATTTTAACTCAGGTCAGCCTGATTCCCAAACCTGTTGGCTCTTTCCACTAAGCATACTCTCTCTAGAGAAAGCAAAATGAATCTGCTTAATGGCAACAATAACAGGTAAACAACAAATACATAGTTTGTAGTAAAAGCAGTTTATTGTAATAGGTAAGGACTTGGGTTCTCATGCTTAAGTGCCTGGGTTTTAATCCCAGGTCTTCAATGAAATAGCTGTGTGCTCTTAGCCCCTCCTAATCTCATTTTTCTTATCAGTAAAATGAGAAAATAATGATATACACTTAGGATTTATTGTGAGAATAAATTAGTTGTTAACTGAAAAACTCTATGATATCTGAACATAGAAAATGTTCAATACATCTTATCTATTATTATGTAGTCAGTATATAAAGATAAATCTATTTGAATTATCACATAGTCAACATATGTAAAGAAATTCCTGCTCTCAGCTCCGCAAATATTGTTTGAGAGCCCACTATGGAGTGGGGAGGTTATAAGAGGAATAAAGTGATTCATGCTTTTGAGGTATGTCACTTCCAATGCAGTATGTATGATACAATAGAAGTTAGCACAAATGTTATAGAACAAAGAAGAGGAAGGGCTTAAAAAAATACTAAAGAAATCCATAAGAAAAAGTATTAAAAATATTGAAAAGAACCCTAATGATGAAAATTTGAGAAACTCTTATTCTATAATTTTGTTCCTACCTGTTACTTGTTATTATAGTGACTTTACTTGCAAAATGGTTTTACGGATAGTTGAACACACCAAATTTTAGAAAGATCACCACATTCCCTTTTTGTTGCTGGGCTTTCATACACCTTCATATGGGCTTTAATATACCTTCATACATATTACAAAGTAACCTCTTGCAGAGCCATTGTTGATCATTTCAAGGAAAATTATTCTGTATTTTTAAATGGTTTACACATCATTTATGACATTATTCACGTTACTTTCACAGTGATAAGAAAGGAATAAAAACAAAATATAGATTTACTTAGTTACCCCATTCCTTCTCCTAAACCAGGTAAGGTATGAGAGTCTGCAAGAGAGTCCAGGATAAAAGCAGTACTTACTAAGCACCTTCCATGCACCAGGCACAGTGCTAGGGTTTTCACATGCTTTCTTTATCCTCATCCTCATACTCTGACAGGTATTATTAACCCTATTTTTGCTGACATAGAAGCTGAGGCTGAGAAAGCCCCAGGGTCATCCAGCTAGTAAATGGAAGGTCTGTCTGATTCCAAGCTCATCTTCTTGCTACTCTACTGTGCTACTTCAGGTTACCGGTTGATGTACGAAGGAAACCAAATGAATTGGTTTGTTTTGTTTCTTTGTTTTTTGAGACGGGATCTTGCTATGTTGGCCAGGCTGGTCTCTAACTCCTGGGCCCAATAAATCTTTCTGCCTCAGCCTTCTGAGTAGCTGGTGCTACAGACATGCACCACCGTGCCCAGCTTTAAATGAATTGTTTTAAGAAAGAAATGGGCCGGGCTTGGTGGCTCATGCCTGTAATCTCAGCACTTTGGGAGGCCAAGGCAGACAGATCACTTGAGGTCAGGAGTTCAAGACCAGCCTGGCCAACATGGTGAAACCCCCTCTGTACCAAAAATACAAAAATTAGCCAGGCATGGTGGCACATGCCTGTAATCCCAGCTACTCAGGAGGCTGAGGCATGAGAATTGCTTGAACTTGGGAGGCAGAGGTTGCAGTGAGCCGAGATCGCACCACTGCACTCCAGCCTGGGCGATAGAGCGAGACTCAGTCTCAAGAGAAAAAAAAAAAGAAAGAAAGAAAAGAAAAGCATTATTCATTCCACTCTGGGTAAACACTATTTTTCTTTGGGTGACTTCTGACCCTTAATTTCCAACTAATGCCCATCAGAGGTAGGGAAGTAGTTTGCCCAGGAGCTGGAAGACATTGATATTCTGATTCAAGGACTCAAGCTCTATTACAATTAGTTTAAGCAAAGACTACAAATTATACCCAAAAAGTACTCGTTTTCATTTCAATGCCCTTCCTGCAGCATCCAGATCAAACACATGCTAGCAGGAATGAAAGAAACCTTCGAAAGGTCTTTGAGACTGAGTAGAAAGAGGGAGATCACTTACATCTACAGGATACCTACTATGTGCCTGCGTGGTGCCTGGTGCTTTACATATTCATCTCCATTTAAAACTCACACCCATGCTGTGGGGTAGGTGTGATTAACATATTTCACTGAGGTTAAAAGGGGCTATAGGACTTGTCTAAACCACACAGCCAACCACTGTCTACACAGAGCTCTGACCAAACTCAAAGCTCATGCTCTTTTACCAGACACTGCTATCTCTCATTTAAAGATTTTTCTGAAATAAATACAAGCATGACAATAGGTTCCACCTCTGGATTCCACCATGCTGATTTCCATTATATAATATGACATCAAAAAGCTTCCCACGCTGATGAAGCTATCTATCATAGTATTACTCAGTGTGTTAGTATCTGAGTATTAATCAGTATAGCGATGTTGAAAACCCTTGGAATATTTCTTTCCCGGATATATGTGCGGAGGACACAGTGAAAATTCTGAGGACTGGTTAATACTAGTCACATGAGGGAGGAATTTAGATGAAAGTTAAATGTAGAGAAGACAAGGCAGTTTTCACCACTTAGATTTTTTTTTAAAGAACGTTTTCATTTTATTTTAAAACAAAGCAGTTCCTCTTGAATTCTTCAAGCCAAACCACGAATACATCCATTAAAGGAACAGGGATCGATAAGCTGCTGGAGGGCCAGTAGCTCCCATGTGGGATTCCTGAGAAGACAGCAGGTCAGCATCAGCTGTGCTCAGGGGTTTGCGTGGCTTCTCCCAGTCGCCCTCAGCAGCCCACCTCTAACAAACTGGTCATCATGGAATCCTACTTTTATAACTGCTTTGGAGCATTTGATTTATTTTTCTCATTT